ACGAAAGCCAGATCTAGCGCTGCTGGCTAGGGAACACATTATGCCGGCGAACTTTGGCTGTGAGCCACGATTTTGTTGTCGGGGAATTGCAAGGCGGCGAGGTGCAGAATGACTAAGAGCATCTCCAGCCGTTGAGTCTTTCAGAAAGCATTTTTTTTCGCCGCTTGAAGGGTTGTCAGCAAAATTTTTGGCCCGAGGATGAAAATTTTCCCAGCCATGTCCACCCCTAAGCGTCTAGGCCGCGGCCTCCCGGCCGCTCGTCGAGGCTGCGGTAGGAGGCGGCCTGCACGACCACCCAGTCCACGGAGCCGGTGTCGTGTGACGGGACGACGAGGCCGCAGGCGCCCCGCGGTCTCAGTGAAGCGGCATGCGTAGGACTCGGCGGCGCCGTTGCGGATACGGATGGCGTGCACCATGCCGTCGCCGTCGAAGAGGTGGCGCCATGGGCTCGAAGCAAGGATTGGCGCCGTTGGCACGCACGGGCGTCGGGTCGGCCGCTGCTCCCTTCCTTGAACGCGTCGAGCGCCGCGGCCGCCGCGCGCTGGAAGAAGTCGAGGTGATTAGCACCGGGCCGTGCTGGCCGCGCGGGGCGCGAACCGAGCCGAACTAGGGCCGCGTCGGCGCCCATGGGGGCGCTGGAGGGAAGAGGAAGCGGAGGAGGAAGCGAGCGCGGCCGGGGCGGCGAGGAGGCAGGGCGGCGCCAGGAGGCGAGCAGCGAGCACGGCAAGAGCGGCGCGAGGAGGCAAGGAGGCGAGGAGGCGGGCGGCGAGCGCGGCCGGGGTGGCGAGCAGGGAGAGAGGCGAGGAAAAGTAGCAGCAGATTCTTTTTCGCATGCGGGTGGGCCTAACAGAAAAAGAAGGAAAGAGAGAGAGGGGCGGGGGGGAGATGCTGACCTGTGGGGTTTAGGCATGCAAAAAGTAGTGCCAGCGGCTACAAGTGCCCTAGTGGGCTGGGTGTTAGCTAAGGTCACCAGGGCTATTTTTGTTCAAATCCGATAAAAAACAAGCACTTACGAGCTTGAGTGGGGAGTTTTTTGTCCGCCGGCTTTTAAAAAGTGGTTTGGGAGGCTTCTTGGGGGTATGATTGAAGATGCTATAAAGCGAAGGAAGGAGCAGGATTCTAACACGACGGCCGCCGCCGACGCCGACCCGGTGCACCATCCCCTGTGATGCACGAAAGGTTGCCACGGCGCGACACCCAAGCGGGCGGACGGGCCAATCAAACCCATCAATGGACTCCCGCCTTTAGAGAAACCTTCGTTTGTCAAGTGGTTTCAGTTCATTCAACTTGCGGGTGATGATGCTGGTGGTAGGGCACGTACGATCGATGGAGGAGGAGGACACCACATGCCGTGCGTCCGGCCGACCGCGCCGGTGTTTGCAAACGCAAAAGTAACATCCGGGAGCCAATAATGGCCACTTATTGGGAAGAAGAAAGATCTGAATCAGCATCCGTTTGTGCATCGAGAACTACTGGCGGGTAGGTAAATTGGCCGGCTCCACCTCCACGCGTGGCGCATGCATGCAGGCAGCAGCCGACGCAGGTCGTGCCAAATGGGGTGACGGTGGTGGTTGGATCCGAATTGAACCACCGAGCGATCCAGTGTTTAACTGCAGAATACACACTGACGCTCAAAAATAAGAACTGCAGACACACTGAAATTTTCTGCTTTTTTTAAAAAAAATCTCGCCTTCTTTACTGTTCAATAATTAAAGGTACAATGTTTTGGTCATGAGGAGACCCCAACCAAACATGACGACCTACACCTAAATTACAACCAAACTTGGCGAGATTATGCGCTTCGAAATTAAAAACTCTACGTTCATGAGTGAAAGTACATGAAATCATATCATTTTTCCTAGCAATTATTTCCTGGATGATGGCACCATGATATCCTCCCGACCCTTGCTTAATGTCCTTCACCACTTCCTCACAATCTGAAGCAACGTGCATCATCTGAATTCTCAGGCCCTCTGCAAGTGCAAGAGCTTCTCTACACGCAAATGCTTCGAGAAGAGTTGGGTCAATAATACCTGCATACACAACAAGAGAAGAGCCCAGGTAAAGCCCGGTGCTATCCCTGCATACTGTTGTTGCCACTCCACAATGGCCATGCCGACCTACAGCTCCGTCGACATTGATCTTTGCTTTGTCCCCCATCGGAGGCAGCCACCTCTGGACTTCTGCCACCCTAGGACCCGAGCTCGCACCAGGAACCCTGCTTGTTGCTGGTTTATGCAGTCCTCGCAAATCCATCAAATATGAGTTAATGAACGAATTTGTTTGACTTGGGCTCTGAAAATAGCTTCATAGACTGTTTTCCGTCTTGTGTACCAGATAGACCATAGGGTAACAACCATAGTTGTAAACTGGTCATGGCTCAACGACTCCTGCATGTCGAAGAGAAAGTTCTTGGCACCCGGCTCCTGATTATCTCCCATACGCTGCACCACCTCTGAATCTGACAAGGCCCAAATACAACGCGCCATGGTGCAACTGATTAGTGCGTGTCTCCAAGAGTCTTCCCTCCCACACAAAGGGCATGCATCAACCGTAGACATGTTCCGTTTCTTTAGCACATCTGTTGTCGGCAGTGAGTGGCGTGCCAGTCTCCACAGGAATATTTTCACTTTAGATGGAACCGAGAACCTCCAAAGCGTAGTCCAATCTTCCTCCTGTCTTGAGTTATTCGACGCACCACTTCTCCCTTCAAGCCAGTCTTCCCGCTGCATTTTGGTTTTGATAATGAATTTGTATGCAGAGCTAACAGAGAAAACACCCTTCCTATCTGGGTGCCACGCCCAAAAATCCTCCATATTCCGTGTGCACACCGGAATTTTCAAAATAGTGTCCACATCGACAGGCAGAAATACACTACGGATGTAGTTCACATTCCATTGTGCTGTAGCTGGAATTAACAACTCTGAACTTTAGATGGAGGATCAGCCACACTACATAAAATTGGTCTTAGTGATGATTCTTTTGGTAGCCAATTATCTGTCCAAATATCCGTTGATTGCCCATTGCCAATCCTCTTGATGATACCTTGTTTCAAGATTTCTCTGTCGTCAAGAATTGCCCGCCAAATTTGAGAGGGGCGGGAACCAAGTTCTGCCGGCAGAATAGACCCTTCTGGATAGCAGCTCGCCTTGAGAATCCTAGCACTCAATGATGTAGGCTCCTGCAACAACCTCCACGCCTGTCGTGATAATAATGCAAGGTTAAAAAGTTCCAAATCTCGGAAACCTAGCCCTCCCAAATACTTGGGTCTCGTCATCACTTCCCAAGAAACCCATGCAGGTTTTCTTTTTCCTTGCTTACATCCCCACCAAAATTTCCTGATAATGCTGTTAATATGTTTGCATAGTCCCCGTGGCAACCTAAAACATGACATAGAATATACCGGGATCGCCTGTGCAACTGATTTAATCAAAACACCTTTGCCACCTGCCGATAATGTCTTACCCATCCATCCTTTGACTTTATCCCAGATGCGATCACTTATATATTTGAAAGTATCCTTTTTTGAATGACCTACATCAGTGGGCATAAAGATTCATTTGGTACTTGCAAGTGCCCCTTCACCGCATCACGAACAATCTGTGGACAGCCTTTACTGAAAAATATAGAAGATTTTTCTCTATTCACCCTCTGTCCTGCTGCCAAACAATATGTTTCCAGTAGGTTTGATACCTCCTCCGCTCCATTAACACTTGCCCTGAAAAACAACAGGCTGTCATCCGCGAATAAAAGATGGTTCACCGACGGAGCCGATGGGGCCACCTTGATTCCACTGAGCTGTGATGACTGATTTTGAGATTTCAATAGGCACGAAAGGCCCTCCGCTGCTAACAAGAAAAGGTATGGAGAGATAGGATCTCCCTGCCGAATTCCACGAGATGGCTTAAACTCTTCTAATTTAGTTCCGTTGAACATAACCGAAAAAGAAACAGAGCTCACCAGATTCATAACAACAGAAATCCAAGGTGCAGCAAAGCCAAGTTTCTCCATCATTGCCCTCAAATAGCTCCACTCAACCATGTCGTATGCCTTCATCATGTCCAACTTGAGTGCACAGTAGCTGTTGTTTTTCGCCCTACTTCTCTTCATAAAATGTAAGCACTCATAAGCCGAGATAATATTGTCCGTGATCATCCTCCCCGGGACAAAGGCCGACTGTTCCTCAGAAACTATTTCAGGCAAAATCTCTTTCAAGCGATTAGCCAACACCTTTGATGCTATTTTGTAGAATACATTACAAAGACTAATGGGACGAAATTGAGATAAAAGTGTTGGGTTGGATACCTTCGGGATTAGGACCAGGAGTGTGTCATTAATGCATTCCGCACTTTCCTCTCCCCGAAGAATACCAAGAATAGCATCAGTGACAGAAACGCCACAAACATCCCAGTGTCTCTGGAAGAAGTGCGCCGGGAAGCCGTCCGGCCCCGGTGATTTTGTAAGGAACATCTGAAACAAAGCTTTTTTCACCTCTTCCCGTTCATACGGCGCTGTCAACATCTCGTTCATCTCCGTCAACATCTGAAATTTTCTGCTTGTTTGTGTATTCCAGGATAACCCCACAGCCCAACTGGACTAGAGCCCGGTCCAATGGCCTTACGCAAGGGCAAGCCCGAGCCCGAACAACCAAAACCCAACAGCTCTGCCTAGCAGCCCATTTCCTTTGCTTTCGGCCTAGCCAGAGTAACACAACCCAGCCCATCTCCTTCCGACCTTAGCCGCAGCGCCGCCCGCTACTACCGCTCGCCGGCTCGCCGCCAGGCTAGCCGGCACCGCTCCCTACCTGCCCGTCTGTCGCACCTCCGTCCTACCCCGAAGTTCCTGCGCCGTGCTCCTCCCATTCCCTGTCTCGAGGCGTCCGTCGTCCTGCGACGCGACGACCCCAACCAGTGAATCCAAGCACGCAGCTCACACTATTCTCCCCCGTTCTTGACCCCTTCCTTGCCACAAACAAAACCCACCTCCCCCTCCTCGCCGGTATGGCCTGCTCCCACCTCGCCGTGGCCTCTTCACCGGCAACCACCGGCACTGCGTTGTGCTCTGGGGCGACATCCCCCGCCGCCGGTTTCGCGCGCCTTCCCGCGACTCGCCGTACGAATCGCTCCATGTTTTATGCCTCCATTTTGACGCGGGTCTACCGTATCTTGCATTGATTGGATCCCCTCCCTCACCCCCCCGCAGGTCCTGAGAAAGGCTTGTTGGCCCTCAATGGTAGGAGGGCCATGAAGCCGGTGGTCGCTGCCGCCGGGTCGACCACACCGGCACCGGTGAAGAAGCCCATCATCGTTATCGACAACTACAATAGCTTTACCTACAACCTGTGCCAGGTATATGTATATGGTTTCACAAGTAGTGGTTAAAGTCATGGATTCTGTTATAATTTACTTTTGTTTCCCCTGTATTCTTTGCACTAAGATCAAATGATTTTATAGGTGATTGTTTGAAGATCTTACATAAATGTATTTCTACATTTGAAAAGTAGCATGAATGTACTACACATTCTGTTAATGTCTACGTACTTGTCCTACAAATTGTTGAAAACAGATGATAACTGATTGGTAACCAATGTCGCAAGGGAAATTTAGTTACAAGTACAAAGTTGGTTCCTTGGATCTATTAAAAGATTTTTCCATTTCTCAATGTGCCCCTTCGGTGTACCACTCCTTGTCTGGAATGTCCAAATTAGAATCAAGAATGCATTCAGTGGAATATCTTCAAGTGGTGACTTCTTTTTCAAGTATTTGTCATTTAGAATGGTACAGAAAATCTTCTACCAGAACAAACTTACACAACGGTATAGCATGTACTCCCTCCGTAAACAAATATAAAAGCGTTTAGATCACTACTTTAGTGATCTAAACACTCTTATATTTCTTTACAGAGGGAGTATCATTTAAACTGGTTCGCTAAATTAGACAAAATTGACTTGTTAAAGGTTATTTTAATATGTAACAGGGACCACAAAAGTATATTATTGGTGTTAGAATAATCCGAGGCACTCCGTCGATCTACCGAGGACCAAGCAATCACACGAGGCATGACACCGAGATTTGTTAACGAGGTTCACCGATATGTCTACATCCCCGGGGCAATGATTACGGGCGCTCCTCCCCATGACACCGTCACAATACCGCACCCCGGCCGCCCGGGCGCCGGCACACGCCGCCGGCTCCCCCGCGTGCCCGTGCTATTATGTTGGCATAGGTTACATCGTGTGTCTATCCCCGCTATATATGAGAGGCCTAGGATACAAGTGTCCTACTTGGACACGACTCCATATCCTGTCCACACACCGTACGGTTTCAAGTCCAACTGTAACCTAACTTGTACAATAATATTCGACACAACTCTAACAAACTCCACCTTGACGAATATTCTCCACCACCTTGAATTCGTTCGTGCGTCGAACCTCCATGTACATTAGACTTGAGATACGCCATGAGCACCGCTGCTACTCCCGGACTCCATATGACTCCACCTGCAACTGTAGTCCCTTCTCGTCTTCTTCACAGTCAACACTCGAGCAAAATTAAGTTTCTCATTGCTCTACTTTGTGCTCCCAACTTCCGGAGTTTCCGTTCAACGCCATCACACACCGGTAATTTATCTGCGTGAAAATGAACGAACTCACATATTGGATGTCACATACAAGAGTTACCTGAACTCAACATCGTCGCTCTTTCTTGACCATCTGTCTGAAACTTGAAGAAATTTCACCGTCGCCTTGTGTCACCCTGAGTCAAATTCACAGTTGTCTCATCCTTTTCTCCGGATAGTCTCTGACATGTTCCACAATTATAGCACTCCGCCTCCTTCTGTACTTGTCATCCGCATTTTGCCATGTGCACTGAACACCACAGAATATACGGCCATGTACTCTCTCTGTTTTGACAAATCCAGACTTTCCGCCACTTTCTCAGATTCTCCATGGTCAACTCTTGTCCATCAACCGGCACCGGTAGACCCAGTCACCAACTTGAATCCGGTACTCGTCAACACTGCTTCAGCACCCCCTTGCACACTTTATCTGGCCACATGTCTGACCACCAGTGCCTTGGCATGTCGCTGTGTCCCGTGCTTACCGCACGCCTCGCCGCTATCACCGCGTCGAGCCTCTGCTGTCCTGGTCAAGTCTCCCGGGTAGCTATCCCCCACTATCTCAACTCCCACTGCAGAGAACCATCGATCATCACCGACCGATGCCGAGTGTCACGCCTCCATTAGACCATTGGCGCCCAGTCCGATCCACGTGTCTCTCGCTTTACCCGCTGAAATAAGCTTCGACTCTCCGTTAACTTACGCCGTAGCCCCTCCATCAGCTCAGAGTGAAGTCATTCATCAGACTCCTACTCCACCTTCAACATGATTCCATGGTGGTTGTACGTGCCACCCTCCCGCGCCCTGTCAACTCCAAGCTCTCATGTGCACCGTCTTGAATCAACCCTGCACCATAGTCTGTCGAAGTCGCACAAGCCCTCAGATCCGCACCACGTGTTTCCACGCCCCAGAAGTTGGCCACCATTCAGCATCACGCTCCTATGTCGTCGTCGCTGAAATCACCGCCATCTTCTGCTTTGACCAACATCCCTGTCGATCCGTCAGACAGTCCAGTCCGACCCAGCCGAAATTATCCGACTGCAACCATACTCCAGCCTGCATCGTGTCCACCCGCACATCTCCGTGCATTGCCCGACGCCCTGTGTCTGCATGATTCTGACGACGCGCTTGTCCGCGCGCTCCGTTGCCTGTCCACACGCTACAAGCCATCCGAACAAACCAACCTAGCAAAACTTCCATGCAAACTTGAACGGACAAATCCCTTGTCTGCAAATTATCTTGCCCATGTTTGATATATTAACTTCTCTGTGCACCCAGCAGTAAATCAGATCGTAATGATCCATCCCAACTACTCCCATGCACACGCGTTGGACCTAGCAACCCTTTTTTTTTACCAAACAAATCTCACGTATCAGCTTTGCCTTCGTCTAACCTTCCGTGTACTCTTTCCGTGACTCAGCTCCAAGCGCAGTGCAACAACTCCAGGGCTTTCAACGCGACGCTCCTGGGTGCAGCGGCCACGTCTGCCCTGTGATCTGCACCTCACGCGCGCCTGGCCCACTGCTGCTTCTGCCACCCGTGCGCGCCTCAGACTGGGCTGCCTTGTGTCCAGGTTCCTTTGATCAGCGTATCGATCTCGTCGAAACCGAAAAAATCTAGAACACCAAAACACGTTGCCTGCTCGATCCAACCTCGCCAGGAATTTCGCTGAAGACACGCCGTATGTACGCTCGCCCGATCGATCTACAGATCAATCGCCGTACGTCTCACGCACACGCGTTGCCGCCGATGCTTCGAAACAGCCGATCGCCTCCATGAAAGAAATCCATGTCACCGATCCATCTTGCTAACCGCCACTGATGCTGCTCTCCTCGGCTCCTAAAACCGACGCAACTTCTTCGTGGTTGATTCCTGCACTATGAACCTGACAAAATCTTCCGTTTTCTTCCTCTAGATCAAATATCCGCAGCCTCTTCGTAACCTTGCTCATGATACCACTTGTTAGAATAATCCGAGGCACTCCGTCGATCTACCGAGGACCAAGCAATCACACGAGCATGACACCGAGATTTGTTAACGAGGTTCACTGATATGGCTACATCCCCGGGGCATGACTACGGGCGCTCCTCCCCATGACACCGTTACAATACCGCACCCCGGCCGCCCGGGCGCCGGCACACGCCGCCGGCTCCCCCGCGTGCCCGTGCTATTATGTTGGCATAGGTTACATCGTGTGTCTATCCCCGCTATATATGAGAGGCCTAGGATACAAGTGTCCTACTTGGACACGACTCCATATCCTGTCCACACACCATACAATTCCAAGTCCAACTGTAACCTAATTTGTACAATAATATTCGACACAACTCTAACAATTGGGAAATATTATCTGTGTATATCTTGATTAGGTCACCCAAGTTAGCATGATAGGTATACAGTCATGAGTGGTAGTGATATGTATTTAGTTTTTGTTGTGAAAAAACATTCCTGGAAATAATGTGTTTGCTATAGTAAAAAAATTGTGTTTGCATGTCTTGAGCATGTTGTCTCTTACAATTGCTGAAGAAAATATGTAGCAAGGACTAAGGAGCGATACAACATATAAAGGAACAATTGTTTTTGATGAGGGGCATATAAAGGAACAATTTGTTTAGATGTTAGAATAATATGGGCCATGGGAAAAAAATCTTCAGAAGCACATGCTTATGAGATGGTTAAGTTTATTTGTGTACATTAATATGGCATGAACACATGCTATGAGAATACAAGTCTTGCTGAAATTGAGTGTTTGATACAGTATATGGGGGAGCTTGGAGTACATTTTGAGGTGTACCGTAATGATGAACTTACCATAGAGGATGTAAAGAGGTATAGTTCTCTGGGCACATGTTCAAGTACGATTTATTTTCTGTCTGATCCATCTAATGGGGTTATATATATTACAACTTTGCTGCTGATGTTCCTTTTTAAAAATCTCTCCTAGGATGAAGCCACGAGGAATACTTATTTCTCCAGGGCCTGGTGAGTTTCTCTTCTTGAATCTCATAACTGCTTTAAGTTTCTGAACTTACCAATTGCATTCATATTTCTTTAGGCGAACCACAAGATTCAGGTATATCATTGCAGACTGTTCTGGAACTCGGGCCAACCATCCCAATATTCGGAGTTTGCATGGGTCTGCAATGCATTGGAGAGGCTTTTGGAGGTTAGATTTATATCTATGGAAACAAGGTTTTTTATGACCTGTTCTTCTGTCTTGCTGATGTTTTTTTCTTACAGGGAAGATTATTCGCGTTCCTTCTGGTGTGATGCATGGAAAAAGCTCCCCAGTTCACTATGACGAAGTTCTAGGAAAGGCCATATTTGAGGGCTTGTCAAAGTATGATTTCTCAACACTTCAGTAAATCCCATGGATATTTCGGTTCTAGCTTACATTACATAACAGTCAACTGACAGTCCGACACCGGTATTGCAAACATTAAATTACACACATCTCATGATTGCTTCTGTTTTTTTTATGATAGTTAGGATTTACGAATGCTGTTGGGCTCTGTTTACCTGTTTAGAGCACTTGTTTTTGTCTTGAGAAATTCTGTAGCATGTGCCATGCAAGTCAAAATTTCAACATATTCAGTTAGTATTGATGATAGAATTTTAGTCTTGGGTAGCTTCTTTTTTATTAGGGAATAAGTTGTGTTTGTTTCCTTGTTCAGTCTGGCACTTGTCCAAAGTGAGCCTTTTGATTTGACATGATCCTCGATCACTTGCATGGACAGCCCTTTTACCGCTGCAAGATATCATAGCTTGGTCATTGAGAAGGAAAGCTTCCCACACGACGAACTGGAAATCACGGCATGGACTGAAGATGGACTTATCATGGCCGCCCGCCACAAGAAGTACAAGCATATCCAGGTATTTCTTGACTCCATGCTTCACGCCGTGGCTGTCATGGTACTAACTGATAGATATGATGTAACTCTTTCAGGGGGTCCAGTTTCACCCAGAGAGTATCATCACCCCTGAAGGCAAGAGAATCATCCTCAACTTTGCGAGATACGTCGAGGAGTTTGAGAAGCAGACCTCGGGGACTCAGTAGGGAACTAGAGTAATCGAGAAGTAGAGCACTTAGGGGAACTAGATAGATGCTGTTATATTGTTACGTATTATTTTCCGCGGGAAAGCCTGCTTACTTGTGGTCTCGATTAGTATCCTCATTTTGCTTAGTAGCACTATTTCAACTTCAAGGAATTGCCACACATGCATGCATGTGTTTTGTGTATGGTACTGTTGATATATGTACAAAAAAGATAAAGAAAATGCATCGTCTCACCTTGAGCATGTTTAATTTGTTTCAGGAGAGAGAGAGAGAGAAACCACAACCAACTAAATAGGCCGTGATCACCAAGGCTCCGAGCAGAAAAGAGAGGAACAAAAGCAAAAGCTCCCGCGGTTGGGATCATGTCTATGTAGAGAGGTGCAGGGCACAAAAAGGCAAAGACGAGCAAAAGTAAAAAGTCCAAAGCACGGATAAGGCGGGCGATCGGCGGATGGTTTTGTTATTATGACTCACAATCTATCTCCCATCTTTATTTATTATAAGCCCAACAAAAACAAACTGGCCCAGCGAAAAAGGATAGAGAAACGGAATTAATCAATCAAATTATTATTATTTATTATTATTAACTAGCAAAAGGGCCCGTGCGTTGCAACGGGAGAAAAATATATCACATTCTCTTCTAATCTAAAAAAGGTGGTATAGAATTTTAGGAATCTGTTCCACAAGTCCAGCTCTTCTATTTCAACACGCCTTGCATGTAGCTTTAAAAAGCACATAACAGGCTGGCGATAATTCATTTATTCATGACATGCGCAGAATAATGTGTTATTGCGGGTAAAGGAAAACGACAAGAACATACGATGATACATTAGCACACTATACGAAGACATGCATGCATCATGGGCGGTTTTCGGTTCAAGCATCACCAACTTATGGCATGTTCAACAACATTCCTATTGTGAGCTCCGATCCATGGCCTCAAGCTCATCCTCAAGTTGTGGTCCCGAACTCGTCCTGCTTCACTCTGACGTGAAATATCGCTCTGGAACTTGTCATACCTCCTCTGTGCTCATCCAGTTTTGTTTGTCAACATTGTCTGTCTTATAATTCCCACCCCTCTGCTAACGGGTCACTTGACTTGTTATTTATAACCTGTGTGAAAAATTTATGTTGGCGTCTGCAAATATTTTTGTGGCAACTCTTGAATATACTTTCATGTACATATTTATCAAAGAAAATACATGGAGAGTATTTTTAATACATAAACAGTATTTGCTGTTTTTAATGCATGACGAAACATCATTTCTCCTATGGCGCACATATCCCATATATACTTATCGGATCTCCTCGGATTTCTTGCCATGCATCCTTTCTTATATTTCTTTTATATAGCCCAGCAAATCCCCATATTTATCGGATCTTTATTTGGGAATCTCTTTTATTTCTTTCCTTGCATGCCCTCTCTTTTATTGCTTGCCACACATGTCCTTATTTGTTCCTTTCTTAGATTAGAAATGGTACCAGCACCTCTTATGTTTTGTTCAACTTCCAAGAAGGCTTGTCCATTGTGTACTTCCTGACATATATAAATTGGTATTCATTTTATGTAAATCAGTGAAGTGGTATTAATACACGCGAGCCCTTTTTTATATGAATACACGCGACCCTTTATTAGACGCGTCCCCTTATTTTTAACAGAATCTCGTATCTAATGAAAATGAAGTACAAATGTGCTTCATTGTCCAGTCTGTTTGGAGCTAAGGCCTAATTATTCTGCTCCTCCAACCTGACAGGTCTCTTTTCATGGGACTTCCTTGTTTAATGGTGTTTTAGTCCATTTTTATTCGATAGGGGTATCTTTGGTTTCTTGTCCATCCGTCGTTTTTTCTTCCGTCAGTCGAGAATTATAAAAGGTCGACGATTATTAAACGTAGATACTGTATGCATTATTTGGTGTGCAAATTCTGTGGTTTTATGTTGATCTTCCAGCCCATTTGGATTCCATCTAAAGGGTTTTCTAAATTCATCTTTTTTTTAATTTTACTCAAACTTGTCCAAAAATCCATCCCATTTCTAAAGAGTTTTCTAAATTCAAACGTGTTTGAATTTTATTCAAACTTGTCCAAATTTTCATCTTTAAAAAAATCCTCAAACCAATTCCAAAAAAACTAATTTTTTTTCTAAGTCCAGAAAATATTTCCCTTGTAAGATTTCCTTTCTATTTATTTTCTAGTAGAGGGAGCTCGCGCAGCCCAGCAAGGCCGGAAGCATAGGCCCACCTGACCAGCCCAGTAAGGCCGGAAGCATAGGCCAACACCGATCGAACCATACGTACCCCGATCCCCAAATCTCTATCTCTTATCTTAGATCGCTGTTGTTTGCTGATTCCCGTACGGCTTTGCTTGATGTTGCAGATTACATAGAAACCTATATAAATCGGTAGAACTCGCTCTCGGTGAGCGAGGTGGGTTCATACATGCGGGGATTTTCCCGTGACGGGTGGAACGGATGAAAAAATGACTGCAGGTTAATTCATAATAAAAACCACATGGATCTTTTTGTAAAAACACCTTGACGCACAAAATTTAGTACCACCTCGAATATGTTTTAAATTTAAATTGAAAGCGTAAAATCACAGGAAAAAGCGTATTGTGACGATGAATCCACGGAGTCAATCCGTGCTTTATTATTAAATTAATAAATAATATATATAATATATATTAGGGAAAGATAGTACTCCCTCCGGTCCTTTTTAGTTCGCATATAAAATTTGTCTGAAGTCAAACCTCGTAAACTTTGACCAAGTTTATAAAAAAAAATATAAATATTTAGAATGTGAAAACAACAACATTAGATGCATCATGACTTTACTTTTCATATTGTATAAATTTAACATTTTAGATGTTAATATTTTTTCATATAAATATGGTCAAACTTTACGAAGTTTGACTTGAGACAATCCTTATATGCAGAGTAAAAAGGACCGGAGGGAGTAGTAATAGTAGTAATAGTAGTAGTAGTAGGGGGAGGAGGAGGAGTAGGAGTACTCCTCTAGAGACTAGAATAGAGACTCAGAGCAGATAGCTCCAGGCCTCCCAACAGAGAAGAGAGAGAGAGAGAGCAAGCGGTCCGACGTCAAGTGCAGCCTGTTGCAGGAGCTTAGGGCATCTCCAGCCGCGCCCTCAAGAAGGCCCCCCAGGCGTTTTTTCGTCCGCCGGCGCCAAAAAATTGGCCCAGTCGCGCCCCCAAGAGCCCAGTTTTCGCCGGCTCGGACCGAAATTGGCGCCGGCGGACCCAACCCGAACCCGGCGCGCTGGGGGTCGCTCGGGGGCGCCGGGCGAATCATTTTTGGCGCGAAGAGCCGTGGGCCCGCCGCGTCAACGACTCTACTCTCTTCTCGCCCCTTCGTCGTCCTCATCGCCTCGTTTCCCGCGGCGAATCAATGCCAAAGCTGTCGCGCGCTGCCGCGCTGGTCAGCCTCCATTGATGCCTCACGGGCGGCGCAGTGAAGGCTGGGCGACGCGTCTCTCGGCCGCCACGCAATCACGTAACGCGTAACGCGCCGGCCAAGCCTACCGCGCGGCGTCTCCGCCTATAAAAGCCGACTGCAAGCGCACCGGAGAGACTCACCCCGATCATCCACCGACGACGCGCTCATTTCTCCCCTTTTCCTCCTCTCGCCGTCACCAGTTGAGAAAGCATGCCGAGCGTTTCCCAGGCGACGGCGCGGCGGCGAACGGATTCGGGCGTCGTCATCTGCACGAGGACGAGGCTCGCCTCTTTTTCGAGGCCGAGTACCCGGTCCCGCCGGACATGCGGGTGCCCGGGGGCGTGGAGGATCAGCGCCGCCGGCGTGCCAGTGCCCCCGGTACCCACCGGCGCGGCGCGGCGTGCGGAGATCGTATGCATCCGCTCGTCCCTGCCGCGTGCGGTGAGGGAGGGGCCCCGATACGTCCCCGACAGCCCAATCTGGGAGCCGTACTTCCGCCGCCGGCACGACGAGCAGCTCGAGGCCACCAATGGCGTCGTCCCCTCCGGCAGGTTCAACGCCGCCGGCGGTGTCGGTGGTGGGGCGTGCCCGGGCGCACGTTGGAGTCCGTCCTCGAGTACATCGAGGGCGGCAACACGCCGCGCCTCGAGTACCCCGCTCCCCCGTCCTTCTCACGCCGCCGGGGAAGCTCCTGAACGCCGAAGCGCATGGAGACCGGGGTGTCCTCCTCCTCGTCCGGCGGCTCTCCCTGCCTCCACCTCCGCCCCGTCAAGCCGGAGCCCCAGGACACGCCTGTCAGCGCGCGTACCCGCAGCTCCGGCGCCCTCGTCGAGCCCAAGATGGAGTCCAGCCTCCCCCCGGAGTACGAGGAGATAGCCCGGCGCAGCTTCTCCGACGAGGACGCCATGCGGTGGCCGCGCGACGACTACCTGCGCGAGGAGATGATCCGACAGCGCCGGGCCCTGGAGGAGATCGCCGCCCGCAAACGTGGGCACGAGGACGAGGACGGTGTCGTCGTCCTCGATAGCGACGACGACGACGCCCCCGGACCGTCCAACCCGCCGTGCCAACCGGGGAAAGGATGCAGCAGGGACGGCGGCGGCGTAGGCGGGGGCAACGACGACGACGGCGGCGGTGACTACACGCGGTTCTACAGCCTCCTCGGCATGTAGAACCGCGTGGGCGGGCGGCGAGGGAGACGGCGGGGTAGCCCGCGGTAGTTTTTTTCTTTTTTTTGTAAAATATGTTTAAATTTGAACGAACTCGCTCGTATTTGCGTTGTGTTTGCGCCGAATTTAAACATTTTAAAAACCTGTGGGGGGCCACGACTGGGAGGCATGTGCGCGATTTAGCGCCGGTGCGCCCCCAGGGGCGATTTTTTGCCCCTCCTGGAAGGCCAACGGCTGGAGATGCCCTTAACCGCAAAGTGGACGACGAGGCAGTGTTACAGAACGGAGGTGCATGCAGGCTGACAATACTCATGGTCCGTCTTTTGGTCCAAAAGAGAAACCTCGTCATGGCTAATTCTTACTCCCTTCATTTACAAATA